GAGAAAAAATGTAACAGCCTGGATTTCCAGGTATTTTTAATTTCATATTTTTGGTATTTTGTGGGGGGACTCGGCGAGTTGGAGGTCGAACTCGCCGAGTCGGGTCGCGGTTTTGGACGAAGATTCGCGTCTGGACTCGGCGAGTCCAAGGCATGGACTCGGCAAGTCTGCGCTGTTTAATGAAACCCTAATTTTCTGGTCCTAAGCCCTATTTAAAGGACCTTATGGCCCTTCATTGCGGCCACCTTGAGCCTTGAGTGCACCAAAGCAGCTGAGAGTCCTTGTGAGTGGGATAAGAGGCTATTTGTACACCAATTTGTGTGTTATTGCAAGAAAGGAAGGAAAAGATCAAGCTAGAAGAGTTGGGGAGCTTGGATATGCTTCTATTTCATCAAGGGAAGCTTCTTGAGGTAACTTTCAGAGCTAATATTCGTGTTTTGGTTGATATGTCAAATCTAGGGTTTCTTCTTGCCTTATTTGACTTGTATTTGAAGTGTGAAAGGTCCCATGGAGATATGGAACCTAGATCTGGACCTTAACAGGTCCAGAAGGCCCCAAATGATATGCTTTATGTCCATTCTTTTGAGTTGGAGACTAGGGTTTCCATATTAGAGGTTATTTCCCCAAAAAGAGCCTTGTAAGTGTTGCATGGCGGCCAAGACTGAGACTTTACGTGATAAATGAGCTTGGGAAGGCCAGATCTATGTGTGTATGGAACGGATCTGACCGCAGAAGCAAGTTTTAGCTGATGCATGGCATGGACTCGCCGAGTCTGAAGAACGGTAGCTTGAAGATTGTCCTTAAAACCACCCAGTGAGTAGTCTTGCCGAGTTATGGGTGACTCAGTGAGTCACAAAGAGTTAGAGAGGGATTGACAGGTGGACCGAGTCGAGTTGGGACTCACCGAGTTATCCTTGCGACTCGGCGAGTTGAGTCGCGGTGGCCCCGTGATTTGTGACCAGGTGGAACTCATCAAGTCAGGGGGAGTACTCGACGTGTCAAGGGGAAATCCTTGCGAGTTGGTGAGAACGCGTAGACTCGCCGAGTCGCTCTGTGCGCTCGCCGAGTCCGGTCAAATTGACCTTTGACTGTTGACCAGAGTTGACCAGTGTTGACTTGATAGGGATGGTCAACCTTAGTGGTACAAGTATTAATTATAGATATATGATGTTATAGGAGGATTATTGCTCGGGGATTCGAGCACGAGTGATTTCCAGGGTTCGCGAGTTATCGAGATATACGAGGTGAGTCTTCTCACTATACTGTACCCGGAAGGGTTTGACTGTGTGACCGGAAGGTCGGATATGCTATGAGATATATGTGTTATGTGTGATAAGTTATTCGTTATATGTGCCATGTATGATATGCTTGATATGGGCCGGAAGGCATTATATTATGGGCCGGAAGGCGAATATGTTATGGGCCGAAAGGCGTTGTAAAATGGACCGTGAGGTTGACGTGGGTAGGACCGGAAGGTTCACCCAGTCGGGACGGAAGTCCCCTGAGACACATGGGCCGGAAGGTCAGGGCCTGGAAAGGCGTATGTGCGTAGGTTGTACTTTGGGGAACTCACTAAGCATTTCTGCTTACAGTTGTTGTGTTATGTGTTTTAGGTACTAGCGAGGACCGTGGGAAGGCGCCGGCATGATCGTACACACACTCGGGGAAAACTATTTTGTGATCTTTGTTATGTAATCGGTCGTGACAATATTGTATACATTGGAACTTAAATTATTACTCGATGTTTTGATGTTTGTAAAAATGAAAAAAATTGGTTTAAAATTTACGTCGTTACAAAAAAGTAATTAATTCCAACTCATGAGATAAAGTTCAAGATTACCATATTACCCCTTGCCGCCATCATCACCACCACTACTACTAATGCCACAGCCGCCTAGGCCACTACCCAACACAACCACCTTCACCACCGCCATCATAACCATCACAACCAACCACCATTGTCACCACAACCACCTACCACCACCACCTACTACTACTACCTACCACCATCTCTATCACCTATCACCACCAACTACAACCACTACCATCACCACCACCACCACTTCCACGTCTACCCACCACGGCCACCACTAATGCCACCGCCACCATAATAACCATCACTACTCCAACCATCATCACATATGCCACCACCACTGCTGCTACCACCACCACCTAGCATTGCCACCACCGCTTGTAACATTTGCATTTCATGTATTTTTCCTTTTTGCCCTTAACCTTAAGACTCTTTCATTTTGGTCCCTAATCGAGTACGTTGGGCATACGCTAGGAGTATCTTGGGCGTACGCTAGGAGGATGTTGGGCGTACACTAGATGTATGTTGGCTGTACTGGATCGATAGCTTGGTCGTAGAGGCACCCACATACGCGGGGCGTATGTGGAAGCACGCAGGGCATACAGTCGCCTGGTGTAAACCCTAATTTTTAGGGTTTGTGTCCTATTTAAACACCTTAAGTTGATCTTGGACCTTTTTATGACCAGCCTCCACCTATCCAAACCCTGAGAACAAAACCCTAATTGTCATTTCAGTGTGTTTGAGCTTCGAAGTGATCTTTGAGAGTGTTTTTGGTGATCTTGAAGGAAGAGGAGTTGTTGGAAGTTGCATTGGTGTGGTTAGAGCTTGTGGATCCAGAATCATCACCAACTTCGAAAGCTTTTGGAGGTATAATGCTCTTAACTTGGTGGTCATTATGGCAGATCTAGTTAGGGCTTGTTTTTGTGCATTTTATGATCCCTTAAGTCATGCTTGAGAGTATGAGCTACTCCAGAAGCTAGGGATGGTAGATCTTAGCATTTTTTAGGTCTCTTGCACATAAAAATGCAATCTTGATGTGGTATTTTGGACCATGCACGAGACAGGTCTCTTAGTATGGGTTATAACGGTCAAAAACAAGTATTTGGTCCCATTAAGACATGTAAAGGAGTAAAGTTGTCAACTTTACATGTTTAGACATCATTTAGGATCAGATCTAAGAAGTGGATTTAGTGACTTAACCAATCAAGCACTTAATGGCGAGTTGGGTTTGTTGTGGAGTACATTGGGCGTACCCACCTTGTACGCAACGCATACTGGTCAAAGGTGGCGTACGCACGACGTAAGTTAGAGTATGTTGGGCATACTCAGTAGCTGTTAACTTTCGTTGACTTTGTGATTTGGGCCATATTTGGACTATTATAGTTTTGGGCCTTGCTGGGCCATAAGTCCTTCTGACTTTGAGCCATTGTTAGGCTTTGGGCCTTCTTGGATTTTGGCCAATAATGGGCTTTAGGTATCATTTGGGGCTTTGGGCCATATTGAGCTTTTGGTGCTTTTGGGTTGGGCCTCGATTATTGGGCCAAGTGAGGAAAGTGTAAAATGGTCTTTTACCCTAAGTGTTGGACAAATGAACTAGATTCTTGGTTATGGTTTATGGCCCAACTATTGATTGGGGTTTTATTTGATTGATTAGCACAGGGAGTTTTTGGTTCAACAGCCCGATTATTTGTTTGATTGACAACAGACTGAGGTGAGTTTGCTCACCATACTATAGGACACTAGGATATGTTATGTGCTTGTAGTCTTTGTGACTCATGTTGTATGTGTTATATGCATGTGTGCTTGTTTGTCATATGTATGTGGGGTGAAATAGACCCGATACAGCCTTATGCTAACACATAAGTTGAAATAGACTTGAGGTTGAAATAGACCCGATACGACCTTGGGCCAATGCATGAGTTGAAATAGACTCGACGGTGAAATAGACCCAGCACAACCTTTAAGGTGGAAGATATGTATGGTATGCAATATTTTGGAGAACTCACTAAGTTTCGTGCTTATGGTTTTCAGATGTTTCGGATACTTCCGGATCGAAAGAGAAGAGCTCGGGATAATCGCACCGGACAAACCACAATTTCCGTTTTATTTGACTCTGATGTATTAAGATGATTGATTGACATACTCTGATTTTTCTTAATGGTTTTATAAACACGTTTGGGTTGATGGTTTTATTATTATGAAAAAGAAATTTTTGGTTTTAAATTTTGGGATGTTACACCGCTTCCACCACCCACCACTACACCATCACCGCCCACCACCGCCACAACCCATCGCACCCACCACCGCCACCACTACAATATAGCTTATAAAACAAAGTAAAATAAAGCAAAAAAAAAAATAAGAGTAATTCGTTTTATCATTCCAATTTTATTTCCTTTCAACCTAACAAAATATACGGATTTCAATTTCATTTCCTACCAACCAAAGAAGCTATGGAATTGGATTCCAATTTCATATTCCAATTTTCTTTTTCTTTTCTTTTTTTTTCTTTTTTTTTTTTTTGACAAATTCCAATTCCTTCACAAATATTTTACAAACTAAACATCACCTAAAAAGAAGTTAATAAATGAAAGTTATGGTTATTTGTATTTGTGGTAAATCACATATTTTGTGGAGACGTCTTTCTTATTTGTTTATATATTATAGGGAATTGAATGATTAAGGCATTTTAAAGTTATGGACGTCCTGCTTTAAATGATATAATTCTGTTAAAGACAACACGTATTTTTCTAATAAAAATCGAGTTAATACATTAAAAATTAAAGATTGTAAAGCTTTAATTCTTTGAACATTTAAAAGAAAAAATCTAAATTTGTTACACGATTATTAAAAAGGATTCAGATAATAGACGTGTTAAATACATTTGTCCAGTGGCATTCACCAAAAGCGATGTTTGTATATCAGTATTCATAAATACGAAGAGGTAGCTGCGACAAATTACCATCAAGCATGTGATCAACTTATGGTATGCTATTAAGGTTAATCACCAAACGGACTCTTTTAAACAAATACCACAAAATACCTATTCATTTCGTAAAACATACTTTACAAAATCACTAACTTTGATTATTTTGTGAAACGACTATGCCATTCCTCAGAAATCTGTAAGGGAGACCATTCAATTCATAAAACAATTTCACAACAGAAGAACAGTTGTGAGTGTGTTGATAAAAGACCATTTTAGTGAATTTTCATTTCATTATCTGTAACAAATAACGCCTAAGATCAACTACACAGTAAACAGGTGTGCAAATGGACACGGCTATTAGCTAGACAATACTTGGCAATTAGACCAAACTTTTTCCAGATAAAACTCAAACCGGTTTGTGAAGTAATTAGGAAAGTGATTGCACTGAAGCAATGAGAAAATAATGCACACTTTAATGAGGTGATGGTTTTATTGTTTAGGAGTACATAATACCATCAAGTTATGCATGGTTTTATTTTAGTTTTACCAAAGACAGGAAGGAAAAAACAAGCATTGGGGACTCATGTCAATGCCAGAAAATTGCAAATTTTTTGTCCTACCCAAAAAACATGGAACGAAGACTCGCTCTCACTTTCTCAGACAAAGTTTGTCCAGACCCATAATGGCGTGTAACAAATGCATATCCAGGTAATCGGACAAGAATACACACCTGCCTTACCATAGATTGGTGTTCATGGTAGTTAATAGTTAGAGATGGGTTCAAGTTCAACTTTATCCACCTTCTCAAAAAAAAAGCAAAGGACATACAACAAAAAACTTGAAAAGGGAAAGGACACGAGTGAGTTATCTTATCATAACACTTAACTTCCTTTCATCTCATATTTGAGGCTGTTATAAGTTTATAACGAGAGCTAGGCACTTCACTCAGCTTCCCAAACCTTTCTTCATAAAAGGACCATATTTCCGACCTATAAAATTCAATATGTATAATCCAATCAAAAAACTCCCACACCCGCAAACACAATTGAAACAAAACAGCACAAGAAGCTTTACCAGTACACCAAGAACTGAAATGGAGCATACTTTCCATAAATAATTTCAATATCTTGTTGTATGTTTTTAATTGTCGACTTCTTTCCGTGGACCTGAAACAAAAATAAACACTCAACAAACTTGTTATAAAGATAAATCTGTCATGCATGCGTTTGGTTTGGATTGCCAGATTTGGAATTCCTTGCAAATGAACATGGAGCTGAAATGTTCAAAAAATCCGTTTGACAATGGATTTCAGTATGGAATTAGATTCAGAGTTAGAAATATTCATAAAACCCTTGTATTGTAACCATAGATTTCTACCAAGTAAAAGCCTATCACCTCTGGATTTACTTACTTTCTTACATCTCGGTCATGAACTAAATTCCAATTCCAAATCCATCCAATTCCAAAACAAGTTGTGAACGGACAAAAAAAAAGATGAAGATAAGCTATATAGAAACCTGATTTAAATGCCTTATTGTTTCAGAATCCGATGGAATGACATGGTAGAATCCCAAGCACATGAGTACATTGGCACGCGTAAAAGGACCAAAACCGTTAATTTTTCCCAGTTGCTCGTTTAGTTTGATGTAATTGGATGATAAAGAATCCTGTTCGAGTTGTCTAAGTTGAATTCTACCTTCAACAACACTTTTAGCAAGGCCCAATATGCGACTTGCTCTATAACCAAGATTGCACCGCCTCCCCAGTAAATTTACATCAAGACTTGCTATTTCTTGTGGGCTCGGAAAATTTCCAATACATGTCTTGTCAGAATCACGTTTATGATCAAATTCCTGCTCTACTATTTTCTCCTTTTCTACCTCAACATAATTTACCCTTTCATCATCAGCTTCCATGGTTGCACATCTTTTTGCAACATTTCTTGATGGTCCTTTCGATTTCATCTTACGTTTCCCTAAAGGAGTTTTTGGGGCAAATTCAGTGGTGGATGTGGGCTGCTGCAGCTCATACTGAAGCTCACAGAGGGCTCTAGCCATGCTCAATGTCCTAGACCACCTAAAATGGACAAACATTCAGGAACTAGTAATCATCAATGATCTTTTGTATAACATCTCCATGGCTACTTACTGTGATTAGTATGAGGAAGCTATTCACACTGTCTTTTGCACAGACAACTATGCTAAAGGTATTACACTGCAAGGCTAGGAGGACTAGATGCATGACATGTTAAGAAATCCTAAAAGATAAAGATGACAAGGTACCGTACATAGAGATTTACAACTTAAAAGGCCAAAGGAACAAGCAAGACACTATCACTATAACTAATCCATTCTTCTTCATTCCAAAAGCATAAGTAGTAAAGGTTAAGGAGTTTAGGAGTACCTAAGAAAGATTTGAACAAGGTAAGCATGCTATGTGCTTTATTGGGATACATTTATACTATATAAATGATTTATGTGTTAAGAAGGATTCATGATACTTTATTGCCATGTTTTCTTTACATAAGAAGTAATGTTATGATTATGTGTTCAATATGGCAATATATATATATATATATATATATATATATAATATATATATATATATATATATATATGTTATGGCATGATATTAGTATGCAGTTTATATGTTATACATAGAAATCATTTTTGTATATGACGAGTAAAGCCATTAAATATCCATCATAGGGATATAGCATAAAGGGGCGTCTTGGGACCGGACCTTTTCAAACAGCCCTTATGTGGACCCAAGATTAAAGAATCTCTGAAAATTTGACATGCTAACCATGTAACAATGACATCTCAAAGACATGTTTTTATTTTTATTACTCTTTGGGCATTTCAAAATACGTTTCATCATGAAACCATACCTGCTCACTAATCTTAAAGCTTATGTATGTGTTCATATATGTATCTTAGGAAACAAGGAGTAGGGATCACTAAAGTGTTGTTATCTTAATAAACTAGATGTTTTTTTTTGTACACTCTTCGTCTTATGTAACATCTCTGGTTTAAGTTATGAGGAAATAAAAGTTTAAGGTATGAGTTTTCTTATATTCGCTTGTACTAAGGGCAAAAATATTTACCCCCCAAATTGGATTGTAACTCATAATGAAAGGTTCCAAGTAGATCATGCCCATTGGACATTGCCCACCACCAATTTAGTATCTATCAGTCATCAATTTTTCTATGTAAAGGTTGCGATTACTTCTTACACTACTCACGATATTTCTTATTCTTATTTGATCCAAATTATATATATATATATATATATATATATATATATATATATATATATATATATCATTTGGATCAATTAAGAATGAAGAAATATCATGAGTAGGGTAAGAAGTAATCACAAACTTGCTTAGAGCAAACTGATGCGCGTTTGATCGCAAAAGAGACCTAGCGAGAAGGGCAAAAGCAAGAATTAGTTGCCAAAGATGGCATTAACCTCTTGGCAGTTTTTATATACATTTGTTACCTTGACAAGAACAAAAACTTTTGGATAGCATATAGAAAACTATTTAATTGATGTTTTGCATGGACTCCTAGGATTTCAAATAGAATGAGTATAAACAATACGCCACTTTGTGGGACTCCTAAGATTTTGAACAATCTGCACAACTCCAACATTTCTTATTTATGCCTAACTCTAAAAGTGTGTCTCATGGATTATCCTAGGTTGAATTTCATGTAACCTACAGGGTCAAAATATCAATTTTACATGGTCCAGGAACCATTTTGATTATCAAAACTGACCTTGAATTCTTCCCCTATTCTAACACATTATTAGGCGCAGCATGCAGATGCAGGGGAGGTCCCAGGTCTTCTAGGCGAGGAGTAACACTAGAAAATGCACAACGCTCTGCCTCTCATTTCCAGATGTCATGGAACCCTTTGGTTTGTATTTTATGATGATTCTTGAGGAGGTAGAGACCAAGTCCATTAGAGAATGCATAATGCATGGTTCAATGGAAGAGTAGAGTGAGATAGAATGCCAAGTTTACAATACAATGAATTATACCCAGCCATAATAGGATGTTGTCTTGGCATACTATGAATTTGGAGTTGAATGCCCATTGAATTTTTATTGAATGGGAAAAACCAAAGGACACACATTTAACTATTTTACATAAGTGGCAATTCCATTAAACTTTGAGAGAGAGAGATTTAACTGGCAATTGCAGACAAGAATGCACTTAACCATGTCTTCAAACAAAGTGGGAGACCTAAATATTCTCCCAAAACCTGATGTTTTAGCTTCATGATATATTTCTTGAAACTCTTCAACCTTTTTTTCCTCCTCCTCCGACATACGTAGCATTCTTCTCACTTGCTCCTGCAATTAAAATAGGCCCACAAATTAATAACTAGAATAATTCCCAAAATTCAAAAATCAGAGTACACACAAAAGTTATATCTACTTCAAGTCATAGCATGCTAAAGTACTGCCGTTTCACTCTCTGAAAACCTAAGGGGTGTTTGGCTTATCCTTTTAGTCTCTAAGAAGATAAACCAAACACCCCCTAATTTTGACGATTACGATGCACCCGTTTCTTTTATCTACCATTTCAAGGAAAATCATCATTCATACAAGAAGAAAAGGTGGAGGAGAAGCGGAACAAACAACAAACCATTAATGACTGCTGATGTGCAGGAGAGAGAGAGTCGGTTTCAAATACACGGACAATTAGATGAGATGACTGAGGCGGTTGAGAAATTTGAACTGTGAAGGAAGAAGAAGAACAAATGTTTTCGTGATCGAGAGAACGGAGGAGGCGTAAAGGACGTTGGAGGGTTTTTGAGACAGGGTCCCAGTGGTTTGGGGCAGTCATGAAAAACCCGTGGCTGCATACTGCCTTTTCTAGGTCGAAGGTGGCGGCAGCTTGCAGCTTGTACACCACGCTCCGGTCACCTGCACCGCCGTCAACGCAGGACTTCACCACATTCTGGCCTTCGAGGATCTCCATTTTCGTGAGAAATCAGGAAATTGCTTATTTCCTCCCTTCCAATGGTTTTTATCACTTAAAAACATTGTCATCAATATTCACTTCAGAGTAAATTACACGAATCGTACTGGTGCAAGAGCGAAAATGCATGTTTAATCTTTAATTTAAAAAATTAATTCGAACCATCCTGTATAATTTCTTTTTCGGTCGTGTCCTTAATAACTTTTTATTGTTTTTCTTTTATTTACTTGTCATTTAAAATTTAAAAAATAAATAAATAAAATAAAATAAATACTCCACCTGCTTTTCCTTAGTTTTTTAAGGTTGGAGGGAGTGGTGTCACCGAAACCACACTCTCTCCTCCGACACATATGTATCATGTCATTTTTTACCATACAAGTGTGGTTTCTTATCACACCAAGGGATGGTGCCACACTTTTATTTATTTATTTATTTTTTGTTTGTATGTTAACTATTTTAATTTAATAAAACTTATTTTTTTAATAAAAATATATAATTTTAAAATGATAATATTTCATTAATTAAAAATACAAATACCATACATTACTTAACTTAAAAAAAACCTAAAAATATAGAAAAACAAATTAGAAACATAAAACCTACAACTTAAAAAAAAACACACACACCAACAATTTAAAAACTTGAAAACAAAAACTATAAAATAGTCACGATTGATGTAACGTTTTTTCACTTCTTCCTTCATCGCCAAAACCACTTCAAGCTCGGCCTAGTCATATTCGACGTGTCCGTCGCTAGTATTCACATGTCACTCTCTCTTTGTTTCTGAAGCTCTCTTTCATAAGCAATTTGCAAAATCTTGTCCATTTTGTCTTTTATACCCTTCATGTCGGCTCTCATTTCTTTCAAATAATCTGAATCCGACGCTTTGTCTTTGTCTTTGCTTTTTGCTTTGTCTCTTCCCATTGGTCGGGAGGTAGTGAAACTGGAACATGTTCATCTTCGTTCAGATCAAATTTAAAAACGAGTATATGATGTAGTGTGGTTGGACTCAGATGTTTTTGTGACAACCCGAAATTTATTCCGTCACTTTTAACCCCTTCTTCCGTTAATAAGCTTCGCTTTATTAAATTGTCCGTTAACATTTGGATTGGTTAATTAATTTGGGACTTTTATAATGACTTGGTAAAGTTTGAAAACAAATTAGAAACACCCTCACTAATCCCTTGAAAAGTTCTAGTTTCAACCAAGTCGAAATACGACCACTAAATCGGGTGCGACCAAAAGCCCTGTTTAACAGCAGTATCGGGTAGATTTCCATTGAGCCTCAACTCAAGCCCTTATATAACGGAGAGTAAACTTCATTTCCACCCTTTTTAATCTCTTTCTACACTCTCTCTGTAACGACCCGTCTCTGGTATGTTGCTTTTATAGTATTTATTTTAGAAGTTTGTAGAGGGACTCGACAAGTCTATGTCCCGACTCGTCGAGTAGGGTCGTGATCTTGATCAGCCAATAGATCGGCGACTCAGCGAGTCCATATTCGGGACTCGGCAAGTCGGCCTACCAGGTAGAAACCCTAAATCCCCGGGTTTGCACCCTATTTAAACCATCTTATGAGCCCCAAACTCGTCTCCTTCACCCTCAAAGCACCATTTAGCAAACCCTAATCATTCCATTGAGTATTTGAGCATTCTTTGTGTAATCTTGAAGTTTTGAAGAGAAGGAGAAGGCTAGATTCAAAGAAGAAGAAGAATATCCAAGTCTTTGCACCCATTTCAGAGTATTTTGAGGTAATAATCGGTTTCTTCTTGTTTTGATGATTGATTCTCCTTTATAAGCATATTTAGCCCATTATTTAGCTTGTTCATAGTAGAGAAACCATGTTGGATGGGTTAACTTCCGAATCTAGCCATGTTTTAGTTCCAAAAACGTAGATCTATTAACTTTATGGAGCCATTTTGCATGTTAGCCCTAGATCTACTCTTCCAAGTGCCTTTTTAGCCTTTATATCCTTTTGTATGCAATTGTACACGTAAAGTTGGGAACTTTACGTGGTAAACCAGCCTTAGGAACTCAGATCTATATATTGTATGCAGTGGTTTTGAGCAGAATCGAGTTTTTAGTGATTGCATGCATGGGACTCGGCGAGTCGAGACCCGACTCCCCGATTCTTCCTCTTTGAGTGATTCCGAGTGGGAACCAGTGAATAGTGGAATGGACTCAGTGAGTTAGATGTTAGACTCAGTAATGGAAGGACTCGACGAGCTGTTCATACAACTCGGCGAGTCCAAGGCAATCTTCTTAAGATTCAAGAACAACTCGGCGAGTCGGATGCAGATGACCTGAGTGTTGGAATAGAATGGGAACTCGTCGAGTATATGCCATACTCGACGAGTAGCAGCGAGCAGGGTTGATAAATGAGAATAGAGACTGGGCGAGTTGGCGTCCCAACTCGGCGGGTCAGGTCAAATGAAAGTTGACTTTGACCAGGAGAGTTGACTTTAGCCAGGGGTAAAACAATCATTTTACCCCAATGCAGTTATTAGTATTTGATTGAGTATATTTGTGGAATTGTAGCCGAGGAGATACCGGAGCAACACCAGATAGTTTCCAGAGCCACACACTCAACAGCCAGATCACGAGGTGAGTTTCCCTTCAGTAGGAACGGGTCTAAGGCCACAATGCCGGCCCATTTAGCTAGTAGTAGTTTCTGGACTTCGGTTCGATGCAGATTTTAGTATGTTTGATGCCTTCGTGGCTCAGACAAGATTATGTGATATGTGTTCCGGGTTACAGCCCGATGTAGTATGCTATGTATGTGCTCATGTTAGTTGATATGCTTATGTTATGCTATGTTTAGTAGTTCCGGACTTCGGTCCGATGCAGTTAGTTCCGAACTTCGGTCTGATGCAGTTAGTTCCGGACTTTGGTCCGATGCAGTTAGTTCCGGACGTTGGTCCGATGCAGGAGGCAAGGCCTCAGTAGTTCCGGATTTCGATCTGATGCAGAGGGTAAGGCCCTGGTTAGTTCCGGACTTTGGTCCGATGCAGTTTTCGGACTTCGGTCCGATGCAGTGGGCAAGGCCCAGTATGTGTTTATATGTATTGTATGGTATGTGGTAGTTTGGGGGAGCTCACTAAGCTTTGTGCTTACAGTTTCAGTTTTGGTTTCAGGTACTTCCGCAAGCAAAGGGAAGAGCTCGGGTTGATGGCATTGCACACACCACAGCTTCAGTTGTCCTGGGAGTTGTTTTTAGTTTTTCATAGATGGGAGTTGATACAGTATTGATACAGTTTACTCATAACACTTTGCTATTGTTTTTGAGATATTGACGTACGAGTTTTACCTTATGATATTATCATGGTGTTTTTAGTAATTATTAAACAAAAATTTTTGGGTCGTATTTTTTGGGATGTTTCAAGTTGGTATCAGAGCCTTGGTTTGAGGGATTCGGATATACTTTCGGGTGTGTCTGAACTCAAACTAAGGAAACGGTAAAGATCTTCAAGGAAAAAAAATGTTTTTGAAAACGATTTTGAAAAAGAACTTAGAAAAAAATAAGAGGTTTGATAAAAGGAAAATGGTGTGGCGTATGCGATCAACCGAGCTCAAGTAAGTACTCCCAAATTACCCATACATGTTACTTTATGTTTATCAGTTTTAGTTTCAGTAGAACAGCATGCTAGAATAGGACTAAGGATCTAGGAGGATGCCTTATGTGCCTGTTTTTATGTGTTTCAGCTTTACGAGATCTGCATGCTAGTATTGAAGTAGATAGTAGTAGGATAGCCTGTTTAGGTTATACCTAATAGTATGAGCTTAGCATTGTATGCTAGAACAGTATTTCGTTATGAGAATAGATTTGCTTGAGTAATTTCCTGTATCCGAATGTTGCTTGCTTCGTACTTTGTGGGACTCTGAGTGACGGGAGTTAGTCATTGGGTGAATACGACACATCACATGTGACCAGGGTTGAATAATCTCAGAGTGTTGGATTTGGCTCTATTGCGCAGCTCTTGTTTGAGTCTAACCGTTGTAGGGACGAGTCCTTTACTCGAAGGATTATCTGAGCCTCATCACATGTGATGGTATTCAGGTGATGACTAATTATTGTCACAAAGAGGCCTTCAGCAACTGAGGATTGTTTTGAATAGAGTCAGAGATTTCCCTAGGGCAAGCCTAGGATGAGAGTAGCAGAGATCAGTAGTAGTAGAAGTGACTTGGTGGAGTTAAGGCAGTTCTTGAGGAAAGTACGGATAGATGTGGAAGGTAGTATGGGCCCGTACTACTGAAAGCAGAGGATCCGTACTCGAATCAAGGAAGGCCGAGACAAGACCAGGAAACTAGTATTGGTATCAGTGATCCCTTGAGATATTTCATTTTCTGATGTTGCTATGATTTGTTTCAGAATGGTAGTTTTGCGTTCGAGGCCAGCAGTCGACAGTTCTGGTGCCGGAGGGGGATCAGGATCAAGATCAGGCCCGGAGGCTGGGCAGTTGGATGAGCAGACCAGAGAGTTTCTTTCTTCTGAGGTTACCCGCATCATACTGGAGCAGACTCCTGTGATCTTCGGTTCGATCAAGGAGGGTATTCTAGAGCTGATGGATGAGAGATTGGGCACCTTCCATGCCGAGATGGCGGCCATGATTGGGTCGCGCACACTTACGTTCAGGGAGTTCAGGGCATGTGGAGCTCCAGATTACCACGGGGCGCGGGACCCCATAGCGAATACTAGATGGTTAGCGGATGTGGCCAACGCTTTCCGCACGAGCAGGTGTCCCGAGGGGGACAAGGTTAGATTGGCGTCCTGTCTCCTGAAGGACAGGGCATGGGATTGGTGGGAGGAGGTCGGACATACTATTGGAGATGATGCAGCGTTAGATGCCATGACCTGGACTGATTTCTCCACCAGGTTTAGGGTAGAGTTTGCACCGGTTATCGAGGTGCAACAGTTAGCCAGGGAGTTTCAGGACCTCACCCAGACTACAGAGATAGTGGCGGAGATCACCACCAAGTTCAGGGAGAGGGCTCTTCTCGTTCCTCAATATGCAGTTGATGAGGAAATGAAGAAGGCCCGTTATCATGAGATGTTGCGGAGCGATATCCGCCAGTTTGTGAGTCGGTCCAGCTGTAAAACGCTGGATGACATGATTGCTAGGGCTCGGGAGA